GCATATTTCCTCTTTATTAGATAGTATTTGAATATATTTTTATTGATTTCAGAGAGGAAGGGAGAGGGAGAGATAGATGAAAGAGATAATACTGAGGGAGAATTAATGATCAGCAGGCCTCCTGCATGAGCCCGCAACCTGGGCATGTACCCTTGACCAGAATCGAACCCAGGACCCTTCAGTCCGCAGGCCGACACTCTATCCACTGAGCCAAACCAGCTAGGGCCAAACATCTTTCAACAAGCTCCTGCAAAGAATTTTAAGGGTGAAATTTTATGTAAGAAAACCTTTAAGAATACATTTCCAATGGTAAGAATCTGACTAATAATAATATAGAAACCAATGATTACTATATAAAATCAAGGCAAATTTTAAAGCAGTTTAGATAATAAGCAACACAAAATGCTTCACAGGCATCATGTGTGCTACATAACAAAATTAAGTTTTATGCTGTGTTTTTTGATTTTCAGAAAACTACTTCATTTAAACCTGTACAGCACAGCCATACAATAGAATGTTATTTTGCTATAAAAAGGAATGAAGTACTAAAACACACCACAACACAGATAAACCTCTAAAACATGATGCTAAGTCAGCAGTTCTCAACCTGTGGGTGGTGACCCCTTTGGGGGTCAAACAACCCTTTCACAGGGGTCGCCTAAGACCATCGGAAAACATATATAATTACATATTGTTTTTGTGATTAATCACTATGCTTTAATTATGTTCAATTTGTAACAATGAAAATACATCCTGAGAACCAAGATGGCGGCATAGGTTAACGCTGGAGTTTGCTGCTTTGAACAACTACTTCAAAAGTGAAACCAAAAAACGGAAGGGACATCACCCAGAACCACAGGAACGCTGCCTGAGTGGAAGTCCTACAACTAGGAGGAAAGAGAAACGCATGCGGACACTCAGAGGAGGCGCAGTGCTGAAGTCAAATTCTGAGGTGCGGAGTGCGCGGAGCGGGCTGGCGGCGGAGGGCGCGGTTGGCGTTTTCAATCGGGAGGGAGTCGCAGACTCTGAGCTCCAGATACAGGCGAGTCTTTAGGGACCCAGACTCAAACGGGAGAAGCGGGACTGTCTGGCTTCGGTCAGAGCGAGTGCAGCTTTCTCTCTGAGCTTTGCAGCGGGTGCTGGGACTCAGAGAGGCAGAGCCCCTGGGGACAGGACTGAGAGCCGCCATAACTGCTCTCTCCCGCCCACCCTGTTGATCCTGTGCGACCCGCCCCGCCCAAGCCCTGCACACAGGCATTTGCCGGATAGCCTCAGGCAAACGCCAGATTAGCACCTCCCTAGAGGACAGAAGTTCTCTCACTGCTGACACAGCTGATTCTCATAGCCACTTGGCCTGGAGGTCAAACCCTCCCTGGAATTAGCTACAACAATCAAGATTTAACTATAAGACTGCGAACAAAGACCACTAGGGGGTGCACCAAGGAAGCATAACAAAATGCGGAGACAAAGAAACAGGACAAAATTGTCAATGGAAGATATAGAGTTCAGAACCACACTTTTAAGGTCTCTCAAGAACTGTTTAGAAGCCGTCGATAAACTTAATGAGATCTACAAGAAAACTAATGAGACCCTCGATCTTATATTGGGGAACCAACTAGAAATTAAGCATACACGGACTGAAATAACGAATATTATACAGACTCCCGACAGCAGACCAGAGGAGCGCAAGAATCAAGTCAATGATTTGAAATGCGAGGAAGCAAAAAACACCCAACCGGAAAAGCAAAATGAAAAAAGAATCCAAAAATGCGAGGATAGTGTAAGGAGCCTCTGGGACAGCTTCAAGCGTACCAACATCAGAATTATAGGGGTGCCAGAAGATGAGAGAGAGCAAGATATTGAAAACCTATTTGAAGAAATAATGACAGAAAACTTCCCCCACCTGGTGAAAGAAATGGACTTACAGGTCCAAGAAGCGCGGAGAACCCCAAACAAAAGGAATCCAAAGAGGACCACACCAAGACACATCATAATTAAAATGCCAAGAGCAAAAGATAAAGAGAGAATCTTAAAAACAGCAAGAGAAAGAAACTCCGTTACCTACAAGGGAATACCCATACGACTGTCAGCTGATTTCTCAACAGAAACTTTGCAGGCCAGAAGGGAGTGGCAAGAAATATTCAAAGTGATGAATACCAAGAACCTACAACCAAGATTACTTTATCCAGCAAAGCTATCATTCAGAATTGAAGGTCAGATAAAGAGCTTCACAGATAAGGAAAAGCTAAAGGAGTTCATCACCACCAAACCAGGATTATATGAAATGCTGAAAGGTATCCTTTAAGAAGGGGAAGAGGAAGAAAAAGGTAAAGATACAAATTATGAACAACAAATATGCATCTATCAACAAGTGAATCTAAGAATCAAGTGAATAAATAATCTGATGAACAGAATGAACTGTTGATTATAATAGAATCAGGGACATAGAAAGGGAATGGACTGACTATTCCTGGGGGGGAAAGGGGTGTGGGAGATGCGGGAAGAGACTGGACAAAAATCGTGCACCTATGGATGAGGACAGTGGGTGGGGAGTGAGGGCGGAGGGTGGGGCGGGAACTGGGAGGAGGGGAGTTATGGGGGGAAAAAAAAGAGGAACAAATGTAATAATCTGAACAATAAAGATTTAATTAAAATTAAAAAAAAAAAAAAAAAAGAAAATACATCCTGCATATCAGATATTTACATGACGATTCATAACAGTAGCAAAATTACAGTTATGAAGTAGCAACGAAAATAATTTTATGGTTGGGGGTCACCACAACATGAGGAACTGTATTAAAGGGTCGCGGCATTAGGAAGGTTGAGAACCACTGTGCTAAGTGAAAGAACCCAGACACAGAAGATCACATAGTGTATATGAAACGTCCAAAAAAGGCAAATCTATAGCAGTAGGAAGTAATTAGTGGCTGCTTAGGGGACAAGGGAAGGAATGGGTAGTGACTGCTAAGAGATATGGGATTTCTTTTTGGTTGATCAAAATGTTCTAAAATTAGATAGTGGTGGTGGCCACAAAACTCTATAATTATACTCAAATCACTGAATTGCACACTTTAAAAGGGTGAATCTTATAGTAGGTAAATCATAGCTCAAGAAAGCTTATTATTTAAAATACTACTGAAGAAAAAAATAAAATTTGAAATATAATCAGAATAGATATTTTTAAAACCTAAATTCTGAGATTTCTGGTTGCCACAAATAATACAAACAAAATCAGTTTTTCCTCCACTTGAAGACTGCTCAGGAGGTACCAGACCAGACTAGATTAATTCATAAAACTAAATTTAAATATGTCCTTTGAAATATAGATGAGGCATAAACTGTGCTTTCATTTGCATCCTATAAAAAGGTGAAATTAGCAGGTTCTCATACAGTAATTAAATGTGAAGGTCTTTATATAACCTCAAAAGGATGCTTTTCTAAGGGGAGAGAACTGAAGAGTCACAAATCTCACATACTATATCTTAGAATCCTCTGGAGGCACAGATATAGACAGGCATTTATTTAATTAAGAAGACTTGGCCCTCTTGGAAAATACTTGTTTAATCTCCCTCATAGAATCAGTTACAGATTATTAGATCTGCAGAGATTACTAGTCCAACACCCATTTTATATAAATGATGGTACTAGAGGAGAGGGTATACAATAAGATTTGAGACTCGATTAACTTATCTGAAACGTAAGAATAACAATGGTATGTACTTTATAATGCTGCTGCTAAGAGGACTGCATAAGAAAATATACAAGAGAACTGTTTTAACACAGTGTCTTACACAGAAGTAGATGTTCAACAATTTTTTTCTTGCTCCTGCCCTACTGATGCTTTCAGTTACCCCAACCTTTAATAGGCAGGTTATAATGACGAGATGACTGCCTTCCTTACCAGGGCAGATTCCTGGATGTGCAACACAAAAGTTACAAATATGGTTGATTCTGTCACAAATCTGACTCACCAGACTTAGACTCAGACACTTTTTCTCCTCAGAACAGTGAACAGGGCTCTGGCTACAACACAAGTCTATTCCAAATGCCATCAGTAACCTAATCTACGTTTTTTGGTCAAATCTGTGAGCAGGAGTTGAGAAAAGTTAGAACACACCTTTTCTTAATATTTAATATTCCTAAGGTAGGATTTGATGCTACATAGCTAAATTCAAGCTATACTTCTATGTCATATTGAATTTATAAGAATATCTCAGTAAATGTAGATTCAAAAATGGAGTGGAGGAAGAAAAATAATCCTGCAAAATTTATCAGGGTGAAAAATATTTATCTGGCTAAAAATGCCTATTAAAGCTCATGTTAGACATCTTATAGTTATCCATCTGCTTTCTTTTAGAATTCATATGAAAGGTCAGATTAAGGTCTTTTTAAAAAAAAATGTGAAAGAAATTATAAAACAAATATTCTTTGTGTGAAAGAAATTATAAAAATTTCTTTCTTCATATTTAACACTAGAGGCCCGGTGCATGAAATTCATGCACGGAGGGTGGGGTGTGTGTGTGTGGGGGGGGTTCCCTCAGCCCAGCCTGCACCCTCTCGCAATCCAGGACCACTGGCTCCTAATCACTCACCTGCCTGCCTGCCTCATTGCCCCTAACCACTCGCCTGCCTGCCTGATCATCCCTAACTGCCTCTGCCTTGGCCCCTCCCACAGTGGCTTCGTTCGGAATGACGTCAGGAAGGTCGTTTGGCTGTCCAGTCTAATTAGCATATTACACTTTTATTATTATAGATTCCTAAGGTAGAGCTTCTATAACTGATATAGTCCTTTTAAGAGAAAACAAGGACTGTATCAGTTATAGAGGTTCTGCCAGTTAAAATGTCCATAAGTGTTTCACTGGTTAAAAACTGATGTAGATGTGCATATTTTGATGTCAGATCATATGTCATGTGTATATTCTTACATTTAAATACAACATTTAAGATTCACTTTTTCCTTTCCAACCTTTTACTTAATATCTATTTATACCATTTCTTACCTCTTGTGTTAATTTTGGTATGAACCTCAAGCTGGGGATCGCTTGAAACCATACAAGGCCACCAAGGATAGGTTCCCACCTTCGACCAAACAAGATCGCCAACCTGGAACTTAATGCCAGCGGACACCTCTGTTGTTGGAACAGAAGATAATATTGGCTGAACCTGTAGAAAAAGGTCATAAAACTACATCAGCAGAGAAATTTTGAAGAAGAAACTATGCAAAGTACATTTAACATGCTCTCCGTGTAGAATTACCTTCAATTATACTTTTATCTGATACCTGCTATCCATAACTAACAAAGGGAAGAGAGGAGAAAAATAATAAGCCCAACTCCAAATATTAAAAATAGGATTGATGATTTCTATTACCACATTATAAGGTATCTTGAGAATTCACATAATCTATTAAAAAGTGGTTATAATTTTGGAAAGGAAAATAATTCACTGAAAATATCTTCCTTTTAAACCAGTTATAAGATTTATTTCAGTATAACTTCTAAAATAAAGAAGTATGGACTATAATGTGTTAAATGTGTTGTAATCTAATCATTCTATTTTCACCTTCTTATGCCATATTTGATTAGACAGTATTCAATAAAGTAACTCACCAAGGTTTCCTCTTTTAGTACCGGTTCTTCTCTGGGTTTTTCAGAAACAGGATCAACCCTCTCATTTGGTCTCTACATGAAAAGGTATAGGGGAAAAGAATAAAATGGTAAACCAAAGAATAGTGATACACACACACACACAAAGAAAACTAAATATAGCAAAGAGAATAAAGGACACTTATTAACTGGATAATGTAAAGAGTAAGAATACAACTTATGCAGTAATTAATGCTATGTCTTAACAGTCATTTTCTATTCTATGCCATAGCTATACCTCCCATCTATTTTATTACTTTTAAAACTGAATTTTTTAATTTGCTTGTTTTGGTGTTTGTTTGTTTTTTAAACCTATCAGGGAGCAGAAAAATGAGCACTCTGAAATTGCTAAGATGTAGCTTGGATTTTTTCTGAAGAGCAATTTGGCAAAAATGTATGAAAAGCATTAAATTTTCAGACTCTGACCCAGCAAATCCACTTCTAAAAACATATATTGAAAAAGCATATAAAGAGAAAAAGAAGAGAGAGAAAAAGAAGATATACACACCAGTGCTATTTGTAAAAGTGAGCATTAGAAACAGTCTAGACGTTCAAAATGTAGAGTTTGTTAAATTAATTGTGGTATAACTAGACAGTAAAATAATATAAATACATTTTAATATGACATGAGAAAATAAAAACATAATGCTACTTAAAAAGAGCAAATTGCAAAGCAATTTGTATAGTATGATTCCAACCTTGGAAAAATAATTTTTATGTGCACAGAAAAAAAAGACTAGAAGGATACCACCACATGATGGAATATGTGACTTTTTGTGTGTGTGCGTTTCTGTATTTGTTAAACTGTCTATAATAATAAACATCGCGTTGCTTTTCTAATAACAAAACCCACAAATCTGTTACTTAAAAATGAATTTCTACAATCCTTGGGGAGGTAATTTAAAAGTATCTATCAAAATTCAAATTATGTACACTCTTTAATTTCCTATATTTTAGGAACCTATTCTACAGAAATACAAAAAATGAGAAAAATCTAAGCAGAGGGATGGTAACTATAGAAGTGTATCATGTCAGTAATCTACGTGTCTACCAACATCTTCCTACTTTTTATCTGATACATTGTACACCAAATTGATAAAAGCAGTTATCTTTGGGAAATAAGATTAGGAAAACATGAGGGAAGAGCTATACTTTTGTATTATCTGCATTTTCTGTAAAAAAGCAAATTACTTTTGTAATGTAAATTTTAAAAAAATTTCTCACTTGTCAAAGAACAGAATTTAGTTTAGATGGCTTAGAAAGAGGAATATATCCATCAAATAAGGTCTTAATTCCATTAAAAAATATAGCTAATTTTATTTTTTTATTTTCACCCAAGGATATATTTATTGATTTTTAGAGAGACAAAGAGAGGGAGAGAGAAAGAGAGAGAGAGAGAAGAGAGAGAGAGAAAGAGAGAGCGAGAGAGTGAGAGAAAGACATCAATGTAAGAGAGAAACATTGACTGGTGACCTTCCTGTATTTGCCCTGCCTGGGGATTGGACCCACAACCTTTTGGTGTATGGGACGATGCTCCAACCAACTGAGCCACCTAACCAGGGCAAAAAAATATGGCTAATTTTAGAAGCTACTCATAATTCTCATTCAATTAATTAAAGACATTTAAAACACTATTGTAGCCCTAACTGGTTTGGCTCAGTGGACAGAGCGTCGGCCTGCGGACTGAAAGGTCCCAGGTTCGATCCTGGTCAAGGGCATGTACCTTGGTTGTGGGCACATCCCCAGTAGGAGGTGTGCAGGAGGCAGCTGATTGATGTTTCTCTCATCGATGTTTCTAACTCTCTATCCCTCTCCTTTCCTCTCTGTAAAAAATCAATAAAATAAAAAAACAAAAACAAAACAAAACACTGTTGTAAAAACAAAGTTTTATTAAATAAAGCTAATTGTAGAAAGATTTTTAATTGGTAGGAAATTATAAGCTAGACTAATATATCCCCAATCCCAAGTATTAATTGTTCATTCAATAGTGCCCACAACTTTCCAGGAACTGTTCTAGAAGTTTGGTATACAATAGTGAAACAGATTGTGATCCCTGACCTCATAGAACTCTACAGTTGTGTAGGATAGACATTAACCAAACAAAAACACAAGCAATATACTAATACAATGTAAATGTATGAAGAAAAACAATGGTGTGTGGGTGTGTAGGGCAGTGTAAGGAGTTGGATGTGGGTGTGTGTATCTTTACAAAGCTCAGGAAAGGCGTCAGAAAGTAAATTACAATCTGAAAATCAAAGGAAGAGGAGTTAGTCTAGTAGAAAGTGGGGGAAAGACCATCCCAAAAAGAAGTGGCATATGTGAGGTCCCTGAGGTTAAAAAACAAAGGCAGAAATTTTAAGAAGGCCATTACAACTGACTTAACTGCCCCAAAGAGGAGAGAGGATACAAGATGAAAGTAGAGATGCAGGCTACATTACAAGGGCCTTGTAAGCCATGTTCAAATGTTTTATCATCCGTGTAGTGAAAAACCACTGAAGAGGATTAGGTAGAGAAGTAACATGCCAATTTGTTTTTAAAAGATCATGTTAGCAGTTATATGGAGAATATTTTGGAAGGAAGGACGAGGAGAAGCAAAATGTTTAATAGGAGGTTAAGAAAAATAATGGAAATGGCCCAGGTGAAAGAAGGTACTAGCAACTTGTTGATGGCACAAAATTAGCTCCATCAGATGCATTTGTGGTAGTCCCCAAAATATCTAATATAATAGGACACACTCAACTGAGCAAGGAAAAAAAATATCTATGTTCAAAAGAAAAAAATTTTTTCCTGATCACTAGTGTAATAATAAAGCAGTTTAGAAATACTGTTCACATTTGCATAGGCCCATTAGGTAGCTTCATTTCAGTCTACAGGTGTAGCTTACACCTTAACCTCGGTTTCTCCTTCTCAAGCTACAGCAGGAACACAGGGCCACTTAAGAAGCAAAAATGTAGTCAAGAAAGTGAGTCATCCTCCCCACATTTAATCTTCATGATGTTTGGGTGTAAGGAATCTCTATAACTCTTTCTGAGGGCAGATAGGTAAGGAGTAACTAATCTTTGCCAAACAACAGAATCTTATTATTGTAAGAACTGGTCTGAACCCCATTAGCTTTTTTCCCTTTCTGGATTAAAGACAGAATTTCCTTCAAAACTTTTAAATTACTCAAATGTCTTATCTTTATTTAATTTTTTGTTTTGTTTTAGATTATTCGTGTTTCCTTCAGGCTGGCTTGAAATACTGTTAAAATCACTTTCCTAGAATTGATTTTTTTTTTTTTTTGCGCAGTCATTTTAAAAGAAAACAAATGGCAAGGGAGAGAAAGAGAACCAAGAAGATTTATTCCAGCTTTCAAAACCATATAACTAAAAGAAGGAAAAAGAAGTCAAATAAAGATGCTGCAATGATAGAAAAGGAATACTAGGAATACTCTGCACATAAATTGGAAAATGTGCTAATGCATGAGCAAAATAGAATTATCTAGGTGGTATTTAGAGATCTCCAATGAGCTCAAAAGAAAGGTAAAAGGATAAACCAAGAGATAGCATAGTAACACAAAAGTTAATTAAGGAGAGAAGTTTTTAAGACAAAATGGTCAACAGAAATCAAACATTTAAATTCAAGAAAAAATAAGGAGCCAGAAAATGTCAACAAATAAAATCCACTTTCTTTAATTGTTCAAAGGATAGATAAGCTTAAGAGTAATTAAAATCAAGTAAGGGCAGAAAATACCGTTTTGGTACTAAATTTATGACTTTATGTATATACCACTTTTTCATATTTTAGTTGATTCCACATGGAAAGATCTCTATTCCAGGAAAGAATCACAGGAAATTTCTTAAACAGGAGAAAAATGTTAAGAGAGTAGCTGAAACAAAATTACATTATTCTAAATACCCCTCTTTAAAAATTTGGTCTACTACTTTTATTCAAACCCAAGCAATTTATTAATATGAATAATATGCATCAAATTTGGCAGAATTCAAAACCCTTAATAATTTTCAAAACATTAAGCAAAATCCTATTATCTAAAAGAACCAAAAACTTATGTCAATATTTTAAGGTGAAAAGAAAAATTTTAAAAATATTTGTACTGATTTTGAGAGAGAGGAAGGGAGAGGGAGAGAGAGAAACATCTGATGTGAGAAAGATTGACTGGCTGCCTTCTGTAGACCCTCCCACTGGGGATCCAGCAGCAACCCACACATGTGCCCTGACCTAGAATTGAACCAGCAACTTTTTGGTGCACAGGATGACGCCCAACCAACTGAGCCACACTGGCCAAGGCGAAAAGAAAAATTTAAAGGCAAAATAAATTGTCCATTTTTTAATTTTCTGAATAACTGCTTAAGTTCATAATCTTAAAAACTAAAAAATATGTACAAAAAGAACATTTTACATGTGAACAGGTTCTAAGAATTTTAAGACCTAATACTCTGAGGCTAGAAAACTAAATATAACCCCTAACGTAGTGCTAATGGGACTGAATCAGCTCTTTGGCTTTTTATAAGTAAAAATGGCAAGCTAAAAGTTAATGAGACTAGCATTAGTGGATAAGCCCAGAGGTGCTGGTGGAAGACCAATGTTTGAACAGGGCCTTCACTCACATGCCTGAGGCATTACACCTGCCGAGGAGGAAGAAATGCAGAAACACTTCCACATGTTTCTAATTTGGTGGGAGTAAAAACAGCTAAAGCAGCTTTAAAAAATATACAACTTCAATAGTGATCTGAGGTCCCCTGCTGCCTAGATGTTTGGACATTTTTTTTCATTGTTGAGAAGATATACTTAGGTTGTTCTAAATAACAGCCACTCTTTAGAAGGCCAAACAGCTCAGAATTGGGAGGAAATACTTGTAGATCAAATACTAATAAAAAAGAAAAAGTGAAATCTTAAAGTGAGATTTTGTTTGCTCAAAAAAGAACCTATGAATATATATCAGCTTGAGGAAAAACATTCCAAACTTTTCCTGCAGGCACACAGTTCGCATTATGCTTCCCTAAGGTACTGGGGGAAGGGAACTGTCCAGTGGAGTCAGCACTTTTACTGGGGCTTCGCTTTCACTCCTAAGCCCTTTATAATGCTAAACACCCAAGGTTTGGACCCCTAGTGACAACCAGAGGCACAAAGGTGTCAAAAACTAAAACATTTTTTAAAACTGTCCTGAATGAAGCAAAAACAGATGTTCTAGTTAAGGAAATGCCATTAAAAAACATAAGTTTACAAAACATTAATTTGTGCGCATCAGTAGCTATCTATAGAGCTTAGCAAAAGCATGATACCAACAACAAGCAAGAGCGAGCCTTGGGAGCTCTAGCTTTAAAGTTCTACTGTCAGAATAAAGTACAATTTTTATGGCACCCACTTCTTTTTTTCAAAAAAAATTTATTTTCTTGATTTTAGAGAGGAAAGGAGAGGGAGAAAGAGATAGAAACATCAATGGTAAGAGAGAATCACTGATTGGCTGCCTCCTGCACGCCCCCCACTGGGGAGCAAGCCTGCAATCCAGGTATGTGCCCTTGGCCGGAATCGAACCTAGGACCCCTCAGTCCGCAGGCCAACGCTCTATCCACTGAGCCAAACTAGCCAGGGCTGCTGCTGCTTCTTTTCCTTCCTTCCTTCCTTCCTTCCTTCCTTCCTTCCTTCCTTCCTTCCTTCCTTCCTTCCTTCTTTCCTTTCTTTCTTTCTTTCTTTCTTTCTTTCTTTCTTTCTTTCTTTCTTTCTTTCTTTCTTTCTTTCTATATATATATATATATATATATATATATATATATATATATATATATTTTATTGTTTGTTTACAGAGAGGAAGGGAGAGGGATAGAGAATTAGAAACATCGATGAGAGAGAAACATCAATCAGCTGCCTCCTGCACACCCTCTACTGGAGATGTGCCTGCAACCAAGGTACATGCATGCCCTTGACCGGAATCAAACCTGGGACCCTTCAGTCCACAGGCCGATGCTCTATCCACTGAGCCAAACCGGTCAGGGCTGGCATCCACTTCTTAAGATTCTAACTGCCCTCCACTTGTGATAAAATTTTAATTAATCAAAATTCAACTTACAAGAACTTAGCTTTTCATTTCTTTGAAGGAAAAGATAGGAAGGAGGGGAGAAAGAGAAGAATGGGGGAGGAAGAAAAGGATGGGCGAGGAAGAAAAGGAGAAGGAAAAGAGAGGATAGTGAGGAGAGGGAGAGAAATAAGAAAAAAATCTACATTCCCCCCCCCCCCCCCAAACACTCAACTTTCAGGCAATGGCCTTGTTAATATTTAATGCAATCAATGCCAGTTTCTACAGCTGTATCTACAAATTGACATTCCCTTACTTGAAGATATTATATAATCCTAAATAATGAAATATTAATTTATGTTTCACATGATTTACTAAAAAAGAAAATAACCATAACTCTTAAATTATATCTAGCCTTTCTAATGCCTGGATATGATAGTTAACTGAAGTTTTAAGTGATATAAAGCATAACGGATATCCAACAAAGACAGAATTGGCTTTAAAATCTCATTGCAGAGTGATTACTAGAAATATCACTGCACTGAATTTTTCCTAGATTCCAATAAAGCAAAAAGTAGATATGAAAAATAGCCTGTCTTATCCTGCCTCTAATTGCATCCAGCCCTATTTCTATTTTGATAAATATTTTAAGTCATTTTATCAATAAAGGGAAAAAATCTAGCCTATTAAATAAAATTGGACATTCTTCTACTTGCCAGATTCTCTAGAGCAAAAGCAAGATGGAGCCAGCAAGACAGTTCTTAGGAACTGAGCTAAAACCAAATTCAGTTTTGTGCATTTTCGTGATTCCCAAAGGTCACAGTGCATCACATATATTTTCATTTCAGATCTAGGGAAGAAATGCTACAGTGAATGTATCTGGAGTGCAAAAAGTTAACTTCTTTTGTTTATTCATTTACTTAATTGTCAATATAAGATACTATGTGAGGTAAGTTCTGTGTGGGGCATTTAATAAACAATAGAAGAAATCGAAAGGCATTTAAGAAACTATTTAGTTCCAAACCCTTCATTTTACAGTTCTTACAAAACTAAGACACCATAATAGCTAGTGTCCCTGATTACTCTTTATCTCATTACCTGGTTTTATTTTCTTCATCTGAACTTACATATGTACACACTAGAATAGAAGCACACAAAAAGCAGGCATCTTTACTTTTCATTCATTGCCCTACTTTTAATTCTAAGTGCCTAGCACAGAGTAGGTACTCAATGGATATCTGTTAAGTAAATAAGAAAACTATAGGGATTGGGCCTAAACCGGCAGTCAGAGATCCCCCGTGGGGTCCCAGATTGGAGAGGTTGCAGGCTGGGCTGAGGGACACCACCCCCTAGTGCACAAATTTGAGTGTACGAATTTGGTGCATCAGGCCTCTAGTCATAAATAAATCAATAAACCAATAAACAACAAGTGCTGGAGAAGATGAGGAGAAAAGGGAACCTGGGTGTACTGTTGGTGGGATTGTACATTAGTGTAGCCATTATGAAAAACAGTATGGAGATTCCTCAAAAAATTAAAAATGGAACTGCCATACAATCCTGCAATTCCATTTCCCAGCATTTATCTGAAGAAAACAAATACACTAATTTGGAAAGATATATGCACCCCTAAGTTCACTATAGCATTACTAGTAATAGCCAATATATGAAAGCAATCTAGATAGATGTCCATCAAAGATGAATGAAGATGTGGTACACACACACACACACACACTCACTGAAATATTATTCAGTAATAAAAAAGAATGAAATCTTGCCATTTGTGACAACATAGATGGACCCAGAGGGTATTACGCTAAGTGGAATAAGTCAGACAGAGAAAGACATACCACATAATCTATAATAATAAAAGTGTAATATGCTAATTAGACTGGACAGCCGAACGACCTTCTGGACGACCATCCGGACGAAGCCGGGGCTGCAAGGGCTGAGGTAGCAGCCGCCGTGGCTGCGAGGGCTGAGCCCTTGCACAAATTTGGTGCACTGGGCCTCTAGTCTCACATATATGTAGACTATAAAAAACACCAGCCCTAACTGGTTTGTCTCAGTGGATAGAGCGTCGGCCTGCGGACTCAAGGGTCCCAGGTTCGATTCCGGTCAAGGGCATGTACCTTGGTTGCAGGCACATCCCCAGTGGGGGGGAGGGGGGGCGTGCAGGAGGCAGCTGATCGATGTTTCTCTCTCATCAATGTTTCTAACTCTCTATCCCTCTCCCTTCCTCTCTGTAAAAAATCAATAAATATATTTAAAAAAACACACACACCACCACCAAAATAAATGTATAAACAAAACAAAGCAGAAATAGACCCATATATAGAGAGAACAAGCTGATGGGTTGTCAAAAGGGAAGGGATGGGAGGATGTGGCTAAAAAATAATGTATATAAAAAAAAATCATGCCTGAAGGTGCCCAACCCACATGAGGGATCACAAGATTAGGTGTTACCATGGTTCTTTCCACTGTCGTGTGACACTGATTACTAAAACAAAAAGTGTGAATAAATATGAACCAAAAACTTAAACGAGAGTGAGTCTCTAGACCTAACTACCAGTTTACAAGAAATATAGGGACAGAACTTGGTAATGATGCCATTGGGACGCAATCAACAAAATCCGGAATATGAAACCCTCTGAAGGAGAAATACCCCATTTCTTTAATAAATACATTGTAAGAAAAAAAGCAGTGAGGGGAACCTGTTGATTTAAGAAGTCCTAAGAAACATATCTACCAGATGCAACGTATGGGCTTTACCTAAATTCTGCTTTAAACCTATCAACTGAAAAGCAAGCATACACCTTAAGTTACCTAAGAAGGATAACCCTTCTAAAAACTGTGGCTGGAGTTTTAATCAATATATACAAAAACAAACTCTGATTTTAATAAAAAGAGGTCCTTTATTGCTTTAGGTTATTTTGTAGCAAACACAATAGTAGGGAGTGCTAAATCTAGGAATCTAGGATCTACTGGCAAAAGTTGGTCTAAAAAACATATAAACAAACATCTTCTCTTTGCCTTTACTCTTCATTTTCAGAAACAAATTTATTAGAAGCAAATAAAAATAAAGGTATTAGACAAAGAAACATAAAAAGCAAGTTCTTAGTGCCACATGTTATAATATTGTTTCACTCTAATGATGTCCATTCATTTATTCAACAAATATTTTCTCAGCACTTATTGTATTAGCCTAAGCTCCTTATTAGAGATTAGAAGAAAGAAGTTAACAGAAATATTTACATTTAAAGAGATAAACACTGAAACATAGCTCTAGGATCTCCAGTAAATGTGAAACATTACAGAATTTTTCAAAAAGATGTTTCAACTTACATTTTGTTCCTCTGGTTCTAATTTGGGGATTTTGTGTGACTTGCGCTCTTCAGATCTAGATGAGTCATGTTTGTTGCTTTTTTTCCTCTTTTCTTTTCTGCTTTCATGCTTTGACTTTGTGTGCTCACTTGCCTGTACTTCATTTAAAAGGTCTCCACAGAGGGAAGACTCAAACAATTCCCTGCCATTCTGGATAGTTTTGGTTATTTTCAGTTTAATTTCAGGTGAGCCAGTCTTCTTTGGAATCACAGTTTGTGGTACCGAAGGAGGTGGTAGCTGTGGAGGAGAAGGTTTTTCCAGAATTTCATGTGGTCTTGTGTTTGGAATTTCTGAATGGTAATAGTCAGTGGGGCTAAAGTTTCTAACTGCACCAAAGCCATTGGCTGATCCATTGGGATACTGATTATAAGACTGGTATTTGGTTTGAGTTTCATACATGCTGATTGATGGTGGATAGCCATTTGTGAGTGGAGGAAGATCTTCTGTTGTAGGTGCATACTGAAAGCCTTGCTGCAAGGTAGCTTCATATGGTGTATGGCCACCATCTTCAACAATGTCACTGCTGTTATCAAAGGCATCCTCCTGACGGATGTTGACGGAGTCAATAAGTTGAGGTGGTTGCTGAATTGTGTTTCCCATGATCCCTTGCATGAAAGAGAAAGAGAAATCCATTGTTCTGCTCCAGCATCCTTAACTTTCCCTTTTTCTCATCGGGCCTAAAGTTTTAAAGGGGAAATTAAAAGGTATTAATATCCTCACAAGCTAAAAGCTAATCAATTGAAAAAGTAATAAACTAAAATATTCTGAACCCAATTTTGATATCCAGATATGCAGAAACACTAAATATTTTTAAAACAGGTAGCCAATATAATTGTAACACAACACAAATACATTTTTATCTTAAAGTCTTATATGCTTAAAAAATCTCAATTACTTTCAAAATAATTTTAGTACAATTTTTATTCTCTTTGTAAACATGCAAGATAGCTTTCTGTTTTCCAAGTTAGAGATCATAATTCTAATGTTAAACCTGGTATTTGCAATATAAGCAGTTCAGACACATATAAATTAGGTCCCTCAAAGCTTCCTTTAAATCACTCATGTTCTGTCCAGTGGTTCTTTTGTCATTACAAAAAGACTAAAATCTTATTGCAAGTACATACGTACATATATATATATATATATAAAACCCTAATATGCAAATAGACCAAACAGCAGAACAACCAAACAACCGGTCTCTATGACCCGTGTTGACCACCAGGGGGTGCACGTGGAACATGGCAGGCGTCGGCTACGGCAGGATGGTGGAACAGGTGAACGGGGGCTCCAGACCAAGGCAGGGCGCTGGTCACTATCATCGGGGCGAGCCTCTGAAAATTCTTTGTTCCCATGTGCCGTGGTCCCACCCGGTGCTCTCACCTACTTCTGGTGCAGGCCCAGCTTGCACCTGCTGCCAGTGCCATCAGTGGTTGCAAGCAGCAGTTGCCAGCCTTGATCATCCGAGGGCTTCTCCACCTCCCTCTGCTCCTGAGGGGAGATCGGGGCCGGCAACCGCCTCTCACATCCGTTGCTGGCAACAACCCTGCTCACACCTGCTTCTCGGGCCTGGCACCGATCCCAATCACTCTGCACTGTCAGCAGGTGAGAGCAGGGCCGGCATTGTCATGGCGGCAGCAGGAGCGGGGCTGCTGGCAGAGAGGGGCCAGGCAGGGGTGTGGAGGATGGGCTGAGACCCACCCCTGTGCCCATGGCAGCTTCGCAGCCCACAGTTCAAGGTTCACGAATTCGTGCACTGGGCCCCTAGTTTTAAATACAAAAGTATAAATGCCTATTGCTCTCCTTCATCATCCCCATTATTCTATGTCATGAAAAACTACTGTAAACACCTTGCTGGGTATTCTTCCAAATATTTCTTCATACATACTATATAATAAAAGGCTAATATGCAAATTGTCCTCTCGACCAGGAGTTTGACTGGGAGTTCGACCAGAGGCCCCCCACCTGGATCGGGGGCCAGCCAACCTCCCACGTCTCCTCCCCACAGCCAGCTCAGCCTGATCGGGGCAGGCTGGCTGGACCCCGCCTGTGCACCGGGCCTCTAGTTTACATATAAAATTTTAAAAATGGGGTTTAGGCCCAAGCTGGTTTGGCTCAATGGATAGAGCATCGGCCTGTGGACTGAAGGGTCCAGGGTTCAATTCCCGTCAAGGACACATGCCTGGGGTTGCAGGCTCAATCCCCAGTAGGAAGCATGCAGGAGGCAGCCAATCAATGATTCTCTCTCATCATTGATGTTTTTATCTTTCTCCCTCTCCCTTCCTCTCTGAAATCAGTAAAAATATCTTTTTCTAAAAAAACAAGGTTTATTCTGTGACTTGCTTGTTCAGCTCAATATATCCTATATATCTTTCTACATCAGCATGTATAAATTTCATGCATACTTCATTCTTTAAAGCAGTGGTTCTCAACCTTCTGGCCCTTTAAATACAGTTGTGACCCAACCATAAAATTATTTTCGTTGATACTTCATAACTGTAATGTTGCTACTGTTATGAATCGTAATGTAAATATCTGATATGCAGAATGGTCTTAAGTGACCCCTGTGAAAGGGTTGTTCGACCGCCAAAGGGGTTGCGACCCACAGGTTGAGAACCGCTGCTTTAAAGTAAACTGTGTTATCTACCATAATGTATTTAACCATTTGTGTACTGACAATCATTTAACTATTCACAATTGTTTGAGATTATAAACAGGTCTACAGGAAACTTTCTTAAAACTGCATATTTGTGCACATATGTATTCCCATCATACAGATTTGAAATTTTGAGAGACTGCAAAAATATTCTATAGTTTGCACTACAGCAATTTACATTCATACCAATAGTGTGTGAAGATATCTGATTCTCTAGACCAGCCGTGGGCAAACTACGGCCCGCTTGAAATGAATAAAACTATTGAAAAAAAAGACCGTACCCTTTTATGTAATGATGTTTACTTTGAATTTATATTAGTTCACACAAACACTCCATCCATGCTTTTGTTCCGGCCCTCCGGTCCAGTTTAAGAACCCATTGTGGCCCTCGAGTCAAAAAGTTTGCCCACCCCTACTCTAGACTCTTGTCAGTATCTAGTTGTTTTTAACCAATAGTATAAATAGCAGAATCATCTGGGATACTTTTACAAAATGCATATGTCAAGGTCTATCTACTGATAAATACGATTCAATAAATCTGGGATGAGGCCTAGAGCATGAGCATTTTTTTAATATGTTTTTATTGATTTTTTTCTTAGAGAGGAAGGGAAAGGGAGAGGCAGAAGAAAAGGAAGAAGGAAAAAGACATCAATCAGTTGCCTCCCATAAGCACCCCTACCGGGAGTGGAACCTACAACCTAACCTGGGTATGTGCCCTGACTGGGAATTGAGCCAGTGACCTTTTGTTGCATGGGATGAAGCCCAACCAACTGAGTCACAACAGCCAAGGCTAGAGCAAGAGTATTTTTAAGACTACATTCCAGCTGATTCTGATGCACGCTCTTTTTCAAGTTATTGCACTATAATCTTTACATTATAGTCATTAATTATATTCTTAAAATTATTGTACCCCATCTAGAAGATGTCTAAAGATGACCGTATTATGTAAGAATGTTATAATATAGAAAATCATCTGTTAGGAAATGCTCTAAGACTACACTGCTTTTTCATAAGGTTTGATGAGCTCACATCTTGAGACCTAGGATTAACAGAGTCAGATATTATTTTGATAATTCCATAAACATTTCTTCTAGAAAGCTCTAAAGCAGAGGACTTCACTACTGCATGAAGTCTTATGAACTGATTATAGATACCTGAGATACTATGAAGAAGGATTCTGACGCTACAGCTCAGTTCAACTCTGTGACTGATTAATCATGTCTACCATCTTGCCCTGGCCAGTGTGGCTCAGTTGGTTGGAGTGTTATCCTGTACACCAAAAGGTGGCAGGTTCGATTCCTGGTCAGGGCACACACCCAGGTTGCAGGTTTGATCCCTAGTCGGGTCACCAATTTTCCTTCCTTTTTTCCTCCCTCCCACCCTCCCTCCCTCATCTCTCTCTCTAAAAAAACAATGAAATAATAATAACAATGTCTACCATCTTGGTTCTAGCAGGATTTACCATAATAAGGTATGTAACCCAAAAAGCAAACGGGGTGGGGGATCTGACAATACACTTTTAAAGGTGTATCCAATTAAACAACTGCTGTTTATTCTGTCAGCAAATGGGAAAGCAAAAGTTTTTAGAAGTTTCTAAAATTTTAAACAAATGTATACAAGCAAACAAGAAATCAAACTGCCCATACTGCTCTATAGTGGAACAGGGGTAGAGGTATCAGAGAGCAAGGTCATTTTTTTTAGCAGCTACTCTGGGACAAGCGCTTTATACATTATCTCATTTAATTTTCATAACACCTCTGTAAAATAGGTGGCATTCAGTTATACGTTCTGAGAGGATTCATTTCTTTTGTTCACGTACTTTAGTCCTTAGTCACTGCCAAAATAACTACTCTATAATAACCATCACCAACACTTAAATCATGCTTAGTATATGCCAGGAACCATTCTATATGCTTTACATACAATACGACATTTAATTCTCCCAACAACCTTCAGGTAGATATTAGTATTTAGTTCCATTATAGATGGGGAAATAGAGAACAGAGAGGTTAAATGACTTGCTTAAATGCGCAACACTAGTTCTTAAATGACAGAAATGGGCCTCGATCAAGGCAGTCTGGTTGCAGTCTGTGATCCTAACCAGCATAAATACCGATAATGCTGATATTAAAAATTATTTCTTTATATATAGTTTAAAATTGAAACATTACGCTAATTTGACCCTTGGCAAAAATGTATAGCTCACAGACACAGAGATATGCTCTAAAGTTCTGTAAATACACATGGGGCAACTATACCGGTGGAATTCAAAAGTTTTTCCAACTTCCAACTTGAAGGCAAGTTAACTATTGACATGTGACAAGATGCAACCTATGTTTTTGGTTCTCATTCCTGTCATATAGATCAGCTTCCAGATTAACCTCCCAAATTATACAGAGGTAAACTGAATCTCAAAATGAGGAAACAATCAGACAAACCCAAAAGGTAAAAATACTCTCAGACAACTGGCCTGAGCTCTTCAGAAACCACAGGTGGAAAGAAAGAGTATTCTAGATTTTAAAAGACAAGATTTAGACAACCCAATTCAGTGCACAGACTTTGATTAAATCCTGGATTTAAACACACACCCACAGATAAAATATACATATTTTGGAGAAAACTGATAATTTTAAATATGGACTGGCTATTAAACAATGGAGCTATTAATTTTCAAGGGTATGACAATAATAGTATTTTGTTTATATAAGAGAATGTCCTTATTCTTAGGAGAGCCATGCTGAAATATTTAAAGTGTCATGGGATCCACAACTTTCAAATGGTTTAAGATTTAAAAGTACATATACATAGAAGGAAGGCATAATGTTAACAACTGGCTAATCCAAGTGTGAACTGTAATATTCTTTTTAACTTTCTTAAAAGTTTGAAAATGTGAAAAGTAAAATGTTGGGAAAATCAATAATTTGACTAAGGTAAAGTGGTGAAGCCTGCATTAAATCTTGACACCATATTCTGACCAATTAAGCCAAAAAGTCCACAGTATATTTTCTAGAAAGTTCAAGCATT